AATGGAAGACAGATATTTTAAAATGTATTCCTTTCATTTACTTAGATTTCATACACTTAGATTTCTAAATTTCTTTTGATAACAAGTTTAAAATCAAAATCAAAATGTCTTACCTAATGCCTCACTGTGAAACTGGTCCCAAAAATGAATGTTATAATCCTGGACCCATAGTCAAAGAAAACGTAGAGCATTGAATTTTTTACTCTTTCCAGAAAGGTCATTCGGTCGGTAAGTCCCACCATCTGAACAGGAACATAGGAAGGTGGAGCAGGAAGTTTCCCACAGTGTTTCTCCTTCATGCCTCCCATAGACACCCTTAATGTGAGCACAAAAGGGACTGCAAGCAATTCAGCCACCAGCTCTCCAAAGGGCAACACAGGGTCTATGAGCATTACATCGTAGTTGGTTTCCTGGAGCTTCTTCATGAGTGTCTGATTGTAGACTGCACTCTCACAGGCTTTTTACAGTTTCAGTTATTTCAATAAAAACATCATTCAATCATATTGTGGATTGCCTGGGTGTTAAGTTTGGCAAGTCATTCAAAATTACATCCAGAAATTTGTCTTGTCCTCTCTCCATTAATTATTTCAGATATTCTGGATGTAATACCTCGAAGTTCAGTGGGGAAGGTTTCCTGTAGTTAATGAGCTTAGTATGTGGAAAAGTCAACATGGTTACCTCATGTCCTTTCTTTGTGAGTTCCTCTAGAATGGTCTTTATATTAAGCCAATGGCTCATGTCAACGGGCCATACCAGAACCTTTCCACAGAACCCACAGCCAGCACTACAGAGCTGCAGCAGCAGAACCGCCAAAGCCCACTTCTTGGATAACATGACAGCAGCTCTGTCACACACTGCTCTGCAGAGGTTTTAGGGTGTTTCTCCCTAGTGCAGAGACCAAATGTACTGTAAACACATAATAAGTTAAAAATTAACTTTAAAAGAAAACGTTTTTGCATTATATGCAAGGTTAATGTTTATTGGGGGGATAAAACAGAAATAAAAAAGATATCTGGGAAAAAATTTCAAATTCCAGATTGGAAATAAGGAAAATAACAAATAGGAACCGCCTAAAGTTAATCTCTCTCTCTCTCTCTCTCTCTCTCTCTCTCTCTCTCTCTCTCTCACACACACACACACACACACACCCATATACACCAACACCCATTCCACTCTGAGTTTGAAGGTGGCAAGTGATTTAGGTGAAAACATATCCCACATCATTTTCCCTATGTGAAATAGCAAATAATTTGCTTGGATACCTATGGGGAATATTTTGATAAGAGTCTTATGACTAGTACAGGGTCTTCAGAATTCCAGAGAAAAAACATAATCCTTTATGGAATAATTGGAAACAACTGTAGTAAGTTAGATAACATATGAGGTGAGATGAAAGCCTTGGTAGGATCTAGGCAGTGTGGTAAAAGGACAGATTTCACAATGAAGAGAGGATGAGAAAAGTTCATGTGTATTTGGAAAACATTCCAGTGTGTATGGATCACAGAGAAAGTTGTGGGAAGTAGGTTATAGCAGAAAGTTAGATTGAAATAAGAGACAATAGGTAGTGTAGAATGGTTTCAATTTTAATTTATAGGCAAAAGTTATTTACTCAAATTTTAAAGAAGGGAAATCACAAGATCAAATTTTTCCTTTATCAAATAATTCTGGCAGCTAAACATAGAATACATACAAAAGCAAGAGTTTAAAAGAAGGGAAACTGATTAAAAATGTATATTGATAACTTAAACATGAGACTATTATAGCCTGAAACATGGATTAAAAATAGTAAATATGGGTTTTTCAAGATGGTGGTGGAGTAGGTGAATCTTTCTCACACTTCCGCTCAGAACCAAATTGGATAATAACACTAAATTGAGAAAACAATCACCCTGAATTACTAACTGAAGACTATCTGAAGAGGAGATTTTAACATACAGTATATCAAAGATTTACAAAATAGTGATTAAATATTTATAGAATTTATGATGTGATCACCCTATAATTCTAGTGCCCATCTGACACCATACATTATGTATGTACTTAACAAAGGATGCAGATGTTGTTATATTGCTATTAGAAAATAATTGATTTTAACTAAAAAGCATTACCAAAAATAAAAGTCAACGAAAAATGAAGTTTTTCATTCATTTGGAAGTTATCTAATTTTATATAAATGAAGCTATTACCACCTTAAACTGTAGAAAATAAATATTGACAGAATTATAGGTAGAATGGCTTGCTTTACAAATTTACAGACTCATGGGCAGTGACTAATGGATTAATTGGTTAGTCAAAGACTTGGGAAGAATTAGAGGCAAGATTAAAGGCAAGAAGATCTAGAATAGAATTATATAGATAAACCTTTTTTGAAATTTGCATAATGAAGATCTTAGTATCCAATGGGAATTTCCTTCAGAATCCAAGTGCTGCAGACAACCTTCTTAATAATAAGGTGCTTTGGATGAGTAGACCTATATATGACACTGTTTTTTCCACCTTCCAGAATTTGGTCATAAAACTTATCTCATTGAGGTATGGACAGTGGGATGGAAACTATACATGAATGCACAACATTGAATTCACCTCACTAGGATTTATCTGGCTACTTCACCTGTTATATCCTCAATTTGTTAATAGAATATATCTCCCCACCTCCTTCTCAATGTGGCACTACTCCCTAGGGTTTAAGCTAGCCAAAAGGGAGAAGATTGCATCAGTCCCCTTCCATCATAGAGATGCATCCATTATCCCCATAGACTTAGTTACATTTTAAATAACAAATAGCCCCCACTGCCTTGTAGTACTTTTGCCAGCTTCATAAACCATGGGTATGAAGTCTTAGTAAAAATCATGGTATTGATATCAACATGACCAGGAAACTTATTGTTAGCCAATGATTTGAACAAAATCTAATATCCATACAATTTGCTGATTTTACCAAGTTCCCCATTAGCTAATGAAAGCTGTTCAGGTTTTTAGCTAAGATAATCCCCTATGTATTTTAAGGGCTATATTAAAGGATGCAGTGTATGCTTGAAATCATGGCCTGATATATGATGCCTTTGGTATTTTAGTTTGAATACATGGGTTCAGAGTTCAAGGGATTGGAAGAGAATGGCCCCCAGCACAAGTATGCTTTACCATTCCCCTTAGTCAACTTTGTTTTTTATTATTACAACTTGGAGTCAGGCAGTTTGGAAGTTGCATTTTTGTAAGAGAAGAATGATTCCACCAACAGACATGGACATGATTTACTTAGATTAGAACCTGTGAATGCTACTTGATTATTTTGAGCTCTTCTACTGTGTTACTTTCCTGGCTGTGGTGTTTTATCTAAAATACCAAGGATAAACTGGGCCGCTGACACATTATAAAATGTAGGCAAAATTATGTCTCCCTATGCAGTAGATTATTACTTAACACTCTGATGTCCAATAGTAAAGTTCAGTGGAAAGCTGTGACAAATCATCCAGACGCTATATATTATCACATTGATTTGGAATGGAAGAAGATTTAGATCATCTTGTCAGATAGGGAACCTTGACCAGAGGAGATGCTGCCATAGGATAAGGGGCACATGGAATGTATATGAATAAAATAAGTAAAAGTATTAAATCCAGGCTCCTGAGCATCTCTGAGTCCTGAGAATGCTAAGAATTGTGCAGAGTACTCTGGGCTATGGCACATAGTTTCTGCTTCGTTAGGGATGAGAGTTTCCTCATCTGAACAGTTTTATGAATAACTGGTAAGGAAAAGTCCATTCTAAGACTTTTCTTCTTTTTAAGTATATGCTGAAGTTATACTACCTAGTGAAGTTGGTATCCTCCAGAAATTTTTGGCATCTGGCTTCTAATGCTATTCAGGAAAAGAAAAAAATCTGCAGATAATCATAGTAGGGCAGGGGGAATCATGTGAGCAGTGGATACTGAGCACAAGTCTCCTATGCAATGGCGGCCTATATGAGAAACCAAATGGATGCCTGAACTTGGGTAGAGATCAGCACTATTGATGACCAGCCCTCTTCTCATTGGTTCTTAGCTATTCACGGCATTCTAATTGCAGAAAATAAACTGGGCATTGAGCAAAAATAAAGTTATTCTCAAAACATAATAAAAGTGTAAAAGTCAAAATACATCAATATGAATCACCCTTTAAAAATGTCAACTTATAATAAATGCAATGTTAGCCTTCACAAAATATTGTAGAATTTATTTGATTTTCAATAATGAACATATTCAAGAATACTTATATGCTTTCATGCTACAGTTATTTTAAAATTGGAAATAATTTTAATATATCATATTAAAATTAATAAGTATTTCAAAACTGTCAGTAGGCCAGTGGATATCATTTATGTCCTTAATTATATATCAAAAACTGAAGTTAAATCTTTAGTTAGACATGTCATTGAATTTATAAAGGGTAAAGTTCAATCTTAATCTATTTGTTAAATGAATGCAAAGCTGATTCAAATATGAACATTTGACTTTAATTAGTTTTTTGCATTGATAAAGATTTACTATAACATTTTTGTTCAAGGAGATCTACTAATATCTTCTTGACATAACAATTAATTGAAGAATTTAAATTTGTAGATGATAGACTGAAACAGAATATAATGATCATACATTCCCAGTAAATGTTTGTTTTGCTGACAAAACTAACCTTTGATTATAGTGATTATAGATTATGAGCATTAGTGATTTTTAAATATGATAAATTGACATTTCACTTCTTTATTAATTGGACTGTTAATTAAACATTTTATAAAATTACTAAATCATCTATATTTAGTATTGTTATTTCCTCTAAAAGTGATCTGCTTACCTTTAACATATTGCTACATTCTGTCCTTGAGAAAAGATGACTAATAGATCTCTTTTGTTTGCAGGCCCTTGCACTAGAAGGTACCCAATATACTTATTGACTAAAGGTGGAATATGAGCCATGATTATGCATGTGCTCAGTGGAAATTTGTAGACCTATCCTAGTGTGATTTGCCATCCCAGTTATTATCATTTCATGCTCTGACTCCAGTAACATTGGGAAAGCAGAAAAAAAATCAATACTATTCTTATAACATACTAATCTTCTATGATGTTTCTCTGATTTGTATGTTCTAGGTGAATTTGTGAATTTTATTCTTCCATGTTCCCTACATCCATCAAACTTAGCTCTCATTTTGTGTGTTCCTCAGGATTTAGCATATTGTTAGTCAGCATACCACTTAGGGTTAAAAAATAATGATAATATTGTGTATAGAATCTACATAAAACTATTAGTGTCTCTGTGTCAGGAAAGTGAGAGGAAGAGGGTAAAGTCATCTGGCAAAAGACAAAGGAAGAACAGGACATGCTCACTAGTTAATGGTATTGTCAAATTTTAGGCTTTATCTGTAGGCTAAGGGAGAGAAATGGTAATTTTGAAGACATGATGAAGATGATATGTTTTCATGAAGGTCATTGTGGCTAAACTAAACAGGATTGCCCACGCAGACCTGTACCACCCTGAGAATGATCTATTCCCTCTTTTTCTTGTTTCCTGTTCTACCAAATTTTTGACAAGAAAATAAGCAACATTTTGTGACCAAAAATATAGCAGTTGCCACACAGGCCAGCAGGAACCCAATCACATCTAAAGAGTGGTACTGGACCCAGGTGAGGTTGTGAGCAGCTGGCCGCAGGTGTTTGGCTCCTTTGTGGCGCATGACAAACTCAATCCAAAAGACCGCTCGATCCAAGGGCTTTACAGGTTGATCATGGTGAATTCTTGATAACCTCATAGCATTCTCTTTATAGCTGTTAGACAAAGACAGACAGAAATTAGAGCTTTGTTTTCATTGAAGTTGTAAGTATATGATACCTTTGCCTAACATGTTATTCATAGATGTGTTGAGGAAACATTTAATTCTAGTTGTGACACGAACTTTGCTGATGGAATGGTATTTTAAAAGTTGTAAAGGGGAGGGTATGGAAGAAATAAATTTTTGACACAATGTAAATAGTTTTATATTTGATCAAATGTCCTATATAATAAAGAGGTAATATGCAAATTGACCATCATACCCTCACAAAGATGGCTGCCTATGACCAGGCCGTCAGGGGGGGTTAGTGACGAATGACCAAATCACTGAAGAATAGGCTGCATGGGGTGACCAGGATGCCAGGGGGGTTAGTGAGGCATGACCAAATGACTGAACAAGCAGGCTGCATATGGTGACCAGGCTGGCAGGGGGGCCGTGAGGGGAGCAGAGGGGGCAGTTTGGAGTGACCAGGCTGGCAGGGGGTACAGTTGGGGGTGACCAGGCTGTCAAGAGTGTTAGTGAGGGATGACCAAACAACTGAACAGCAGTCTGTGTGGGGCCACCAGGTCAGCAGGGGGGCCATGAGGGGCAACCAGGCCAGCAGGGTGGAGCAGTCGGGGGTGACCAGGCTGGCAGAGGGGTGCAGTTGGGGGCGACCAGGCCAGTTTTGGGGGCAGTTTGGGGGCAACCAGGCAGGCAGGCATGTGAATGATTAGGAGTCAGCAGTCCAGGATAGTGAAAGGGATGTCTGACTGATGTCCCTGAAATAGATGTTAAAAATGGAATTAAAAGTAATTCTAATAAATAACATACAAAAATTAATTTCTGAAAGGAAAAATTAAATTCTTGTTATTCTATATTAATAGTGTTGAAAGGAATCACTATAACTCAGGGAAAATATAGAAAATTAGTTATAGAGAAATATCATAATTAAGTTTCTGAATTAATAAAAATTAATGATATTTTCCCATGCTGGAAAGGAAACACAGAAAAAGAGAAAATTATCAGCTAGACCTTAAAACCCACATCAACATTTAAAGCTAGAAGATAATGGGTAACATTTATGTAGTTCTGAAGAAAGGAAAGTAATAGCTAAGTATATTCAGATAGGTGTGATTTTCATATCAAGGCAGTGAGCAAGTATCGATAAACATGATCTCAAAGAATTCAATATCCATGAAACTTTATTGAAAGAAAATTCCATATAATATATTCATTTAAAAGCTAATTCAAAATACTTTGAAATAAAGAATCTCTCATTCAATGGAGAAATTTGATTCCCTTAAATATATATATATATACACACATATATATGTACATATGCATGTATATGTATATAAGGAAGTTAATTATATTTGCCAAATAACTTGGTCTTAAGAAATGTACAAATCTCAATAAAGACTAAATAAATGTGAAGAAAGTAAGTACCAAAAATATTGACAACTTAAAATTTTAAGTAATACATATCTGAGATGAGATTACTTCTATAGTGTGAATTAAACTGAGAGAGACTAAATTTAAAACATGTAGTTAATAATTAACACAAATAATAAATAAAACAAAAAAACACAATCAACACTATATAGACACATATTAATTCTTAACTTTGATGAGATCTTCTACAGAAAAAATAAGAGGTAACTATATGCATCTACAGTTAAATATATGTAATAGATTCATTTTAATTTATTTTTAGGTAAAATAGGTAAAATTTAAAGTTTTGTTTAAAAATGTATTCAATCTATATTTATAAAGTTATTAACTATTCTAGCTCTCCTTGCTGTGTATATGCATATGCTAATGGTGGTATGCATTCAGTGTTAATGATAGTTATTTTTGAATGATTAATATTTGGCAAATTATCACTTCTATTTTTATACTTACTGAACATTTATCTATACTAATAAAAGGGTAATACACTAATTAGACTGGAAGAACTTCCAGGAGACCTTCTGGACGTCCTTCCAGAATAAGCCATGGTGGCAGGGCCGAAGTAGAGCAGTTAGGGGTGATCAGGCCAGGAGGGGAGGGCAGTTGGGGTGATCGGGCTGGCGGGGGGGGCAGTTGGGGGGAAGCAGGCCGGCAGTGGGGGGCAGTTGGGGGCAATCAGGTGAGCAGAGGGGTGCAGATCTGGCCTAAACCAACAGTCAGACATCCCCCGAGGGGTCCCAAATTGGAGAGAGTGCAGGCCGGGCTGAGGGACACCGCCTCCCCCTTGAATGAATTTCATGCACCAGGCCACTAGTAATATATGAAGAAGCAGATATATTTATAAAAGCAAGCAGATGAGCCCTGTCCGGTGTGGTTCAGTTGGCTGGGTGCTGTCCTGTGTACCTAAAGGTTGCTGATTCATTTCCTCATCAGGTGCCTCAAAATATCTGAGAATTTTTGTTATCATTAACATTATTGTGAAAAAAGCACGTTGATAGATACTTGAAATGAGGATTTTTGCGATTTTAGCAAATCACTTCATCAATTTGGGGAATGAAATAATAAAATGGTGTTTATATTAGTCATCTTATGGTTATTATTTAAAAGTATACCAATTACAAATACATGGTACATTGGACATTCTTGAATATGATGGGTAATGTAACCAATGGTAAGTTTTTCAAGGCTGTAGTACTTACGAAGGTTCATTAATGACTGTTTTCAAGGCATCATGCAAATCTTCACTAGTCATTGTGTTTATGTTCACCTCCACAGCCGCTCCCTTGGCCTTCATGTGAGCAATGTTATCATGCTGATCAGCAAACATGGGAACTCCCACCATAGGGACCCCATGATAAATACCTTCATAGATCCCATTTGTTCCACCATGAGTGATAAAAGCTTTTGCTTTGGGATGACCTGTTTGAGGGTTGGGTGAGAAGCAGATGAGGATTTCATTATATGTTAGAAGAATTTCAGAGAGAGATGGAGAAAAACTACAGGATAAAGCAATGCAGATGGCAGTATTCTCTATAGACGCTGAACACAGGATTTATTGCTATCTCAGAAAACTGTGATCTCAGGAAATGGCAAATTCACTCCTGCATTGTCTGGAAAGACTTTACAAGGAGGTGATATCTGAACTGTGGTTGAAATTTGAGAACTCAGGAGAGTCTTAACTGAGATTCTCCTTTGTGAACCAGAGGAAGCAGGAATCTCTCAATGGCCTATTGTTTCATAATATCTACTTTAAAATTGGCAGCAAAATGTGAAATTTTAAAAGCATTAAATGTTGATTGAACTTAGCTGCTCTCAGTTACTTAACTTGTTCATCATCCAACTGTACAGCGTTTCCCCCTCAATCTTACCAAGAAGATCATTCTGGGGTATCCAGTCATAGAGCCGAGTATTGGCTCCTAATGTGGCTGGCTTCTTTCCTTTGTATCTCCATAAGACCTGTGGAAGAAAGTGCATTAATTTTACAAGTAAGAATGCACAGTTAAGGAATTGTAGGGCTGTAGAGTTAATTAAAAATCATGTAGTCCATTTTATGTGATATATAAGAGGTACAAAAGGGGTAGTTCGCAAACATTGATTGTATTTCCTTGAAAATCACTTTGCAAAAAGATGTACTGTATTTCCATAGTATTACAAAGGCTCAGTAGGCAAATGATCAAATGGGCCCAAATACAACATTTTAATGTTTTGAGAAATTTGTATTTAAAGATGGTGTCAGTTATGCTCAATGTATAATGAATTTCAGCTTTCATCTGGAAAGAATACTATTGGTTTGCTACACTTTCTCTCCAATTGGCATGGTGGCTGCTAACTAGGATCGTAGGTTGTACTGACCTTCTGTGGAATCTGAGCGAGGGCTGAGGCAATGAGATTGGCTTTTTCTTCTGTGAGGTTTTTGACCATTGACCCCAGAGAGAACACCACAACTCCATGTTCACCTGAACTTTGGACAAATTCTTCCATTTCCTGTAGAGATAAAATTCTCTCTATCATGAAAGTACAGGACCACAGGGGAAAAAATCACTTACATTCTATATAATAAAAGCTCAGTATGCAAATTGTCCCCTCTACTGGGAGTTGTCTGGGAGTTTGACAAGGGGGTTGGGCTGGCCAGGGGAAGGGAGGGAGGCCCTGGTCGGCGATGGAAGCTGTGGCGCCAGGTGGCAGGGGGAAGGGAGGGAGTACCCAGCCAGCAGCCAGCAGCTGCTAGGAACCCTACCAGTGCATGAATTTTGTGCACTGGGCCTCTAGTTTCTAAATAGGCAGGGTCAAGGACAGCATCAGAGAAATTGATAGACTGGTTAGGTATTCTACCACATAGAACCATCTAGTCTCTTTAAGAGAAAAACTGTTTCTGAAAACTATGGCTTAAATATATAATGAGTGATTACAACTAAAGGCATGCACTCAAACCATTATCCTATATAATAAAAGGCTAATATTCAAACAGACCAAATGGTGGAACAACTGAATGACCAAACAACCTAACAGCCAGTCACTATGACGTGAGCTGACCACCAGGGGGTGCACGAAACATATCGGGCCTCAGCAGCAGGTGACAGAGCACAGAATATGGTGGGTGTCAGCCACAGCGGGATGGTAGGGCAGGTGAGCTGGGGTGCCGGTCGCTGTCATTGGGGCAAGCCTCTGGTGGTTACTGAAAATTTTTTGCTCCCTGCACCATGCTCCCGCTGGGTGCTTGCACCTGCTGCCAGAGCCAGAGCTTCTGCTTGCACCTGCGCCAGCTCTGATCGCTCAGCACTGTCAGCAGGTGTGAACGGCGGCTGATGGCCCCTATCACCCCTCAGTACTTCTTCACCTCCCCCTGCTACTGTGGGCAATCAGGGCAGCAGCAGCCACTCTCACCCTCTGATGGCGCCAGCCCTGCTCACACCCACTGCTGGCACCAGCCCCAATCGCTCCACACCATCAAAGGGTGGGAATGGGGCTGGCACTGTCAGCACATGGGAGCTGTTGTGGGAGTGGGGCTGCTGGCAGACAGGGGACCAGGGGCCACAGAAGGAGGGGCAAGGCGGGGCCTCAGAGGATGGGCCAAGACCCGCCCCTTCCCACCGCAGCCTCACGCCCCACAGTTCCTTTCAAGGTGCACCAATTTGTGCACTGGGCCCCTAGTACCAAATAAATAGATAAGAAGAGGCAAATCTTCCCATGGTATGTGAAACTGTTACACCCAAAGCTTAACCCCTAGAGTGCCGGGGAGTGCGATCACGCTCCTCCTGTCTTTGGCCAAAAGGGCCTGGAGCGCTATCAAAGCTTCGAAATGGCGTCCAGTTCTAAGTCTGCTTTTATTAGTGATGATGATATTGCTAAATATGTCAATGTAGTAAAGGTTTCCTTAAGTTTTTGAATATGTAACTTCATTTACTTGAGATTCATAATTTTTTTCCTAAACTGCTGTAAAATCAGCAAAAATGCCTTGGCAATTTTAGCATAGTTCCTAGGATATTGGTTGGCACTCAAAGGGTTACTTTTATGACCAATAGAGTTGTTTGCAAGCTCATAAAAATATTCCTTGGAGGAAAGCCCCCCAAAAGGGGTTTAGAATTAAGCTTTAAAATTTTTCAGCATACCAGTTTACAAGCAATAAATTATTAATGACTTCATCTAACTTTCTGTTAGGAGTTTAGGATATTTGTCTGATATTTATTCTTTCCCTGATTTATAAAGCTAAATAGAGCTTTTTAAAAGGGATATATAATATATAGCAGTCAAATGCCTGCTATAATCATGATAAATTTACGAAACAGTGATTCACTCTTTTTCCACAAGAATGTGACACTAACTGCATGCCATTAATTTGATCCTTAGCACAGAAGTAAAATATACATTTCTCTGCAAAATAAAATTCATTGCTTACAGCTGTTCAGGTTGAACACTGCAGCCTTGGATTGGGGTTTTGCACATCGTAATCTGTGTGAATGTCAATCTCTAGAGATGATCATGCATTCTCTTTGCAATTATTGGTGGTTGTCCTGTGATCACTGATATGTCTCAATATAAGGCTAGTAAAATTACCAGGGGAAAGATGATGCCATAAAAGTAGACTGCTATTTTTAGCTTAGTTAAACTTAGGAGAATATCTCTGAAGTCATAGGAATTGGTATTTTACCATTTTGATTCATCTTCCTAAGCATATGATTGAATAAAAAATATATTGGATAAAAAATATATACAACACACACACACACACACACACACACACTCACTAAGACTTACATAGCTACCTGTCTGATTTGGATTCTTGAATTTACTGTCTCTCATTGCTTTTTTATTCTGTGTATTCAGTGACTGGTTTAATCCCCTTTTCAGAGATATAAGCCATGATTGGTATTCATTTGCTCAAATATCTATATTAGTAATTGGGTTTGAAATGGAAAAATTCTTCCCTCTTGTAAAACATATCTGAGTTGGTTTTATGAAATTGTAATAAACAAAATAGTGTGTCAAGGTGTTTTGTAGTAAGCCACAGAATGTGTCATGTCTCTTACTCTACCTTTATTTAGATATTGGTTAACTCTCTCCTGTAATAACACTCAATAGAGTTTTCCAGAAGCTGTAACTGGTTGGTAAGAAAACCATATTCACAATCCTGAAATGATATTTTAATGTTAAATATGCACCTTAGCCAAAGCAGAAATCAAGATTGCTACTGGGAACACCATTTCTTCTGCAACCTTCAACAGAGATTATTTTGTTTACCTGCAACTCAAGCAAATGAGTGTTTCCTCACTCCCTATTGATAAAAATAGTTAAATACAAGATAGTTTTTTACTCTGCTTACCTATTACTCTCTTTTGTTTCCCAATATTGTTTTCCTCTAACATTTCTGGCAGCCCATATTTATTCTTTTATAGCTTTGGAATGTGTTATACAATTTCCTTTTTTACTCAAAAAAAAAAAAAAAACAACCAAAAAACTGACATCATGGTCTTAAAAAACCAATTCAACATTTGAGTTTCTTAGTTCTATGACTTCTACTTTATGTTGATGACTCCCAATCTATTTCTAATGCTCTTCTAGGACAGAAACCTTGTATTACTCATACAACTTCTAGAAATCTACATCTCAAAATTCCTTTGGCTCCTTAAAGTGAATTTGAACTCATAATTGTCATCTCAAAATAATGTTTCATTAATTGTTTCTTATTTCAGCAAAGGCCACTGCTATCCAAGAAGCCATGTCTTCAGGCAATATTTACTTCTACTCACCAAATCCTGTGTAATCCACCCAACAGTTCTCACAAAAGCCTCTTTACCACTCAAACAATCATAGTAAGTGACCCTATTCATAATTCCATCACGCTTGTTAGGAAGACTACAGCAGTCTCCTTAGTGAGTTTCAATTCTTTAGTTTCCTGTTTCTTCAGTCTCGTACCCACACTATAGACCCACTGATATTTTTAACACGCTCCTTAAATCACTTCATTCTTCAGCTTAAATATCAAAGTAAAGTCAAAACAAAAAAGTAATATCACACATAAGAGACCCCTATGACTTGGAAAATTGATTTTGAGTAGCAAACTGAAGATACCCAACAACACTCTGTAATTTAGACTATAAAGTTTAGAGGGAAATCAGAATTTTTATCATATGGTACACAAAATCCTCCACTATAATAGACATACCTTAGGTAACGGTTTGGCAGGTTTACAATGCAATCCTCCTACAAACTCAAAATTAGGTAAGTATGGACGAGGAAATTCAAAATCCCAATATGTCCTCATTAGCCAAATTTCTGCTTTCCCCATAGTTTCACATAACGTAGTGGGTCTTCCTGGAGAAAATAAAGTTGGGAGGATGTTATTAGCATATATGTTTGTTAGGAAAATAAATGTACCACTACTTTTCTGATGTGCTATTAAGGAAAAAGAGAAATCTAGGCCCTCTAGATTACTGATTATGTCTAGATTTTAAAAGGAAAGGGAATTTAAAGTAATATGGAACAGAGGGAGAGAAGGAGGTAGAGATAATATTTGGATAGTGAAAGAACAGTAATGTGTAAAATAATACATTCAATAAAATAAATTTCATAAAATCAAATAACAATGAATAAAATAAATTCACAAAAAAAGAAATTAATAAAAAAATGTAACCACAACTCCAACTACTGATGAATTTTATATTCACTGTCTCCCTCCAATTAAATGGCAGATGATACATTAACCCCATCATATTAGCACCAAATCACCTCTCAATAGTTTTCTAATTTTCTGTCAGGAATATATTTCCATCTTCTAGATTTGTATACTTTCTCATTCACTCATATTGTTGAAGAATCCCAACAATATCAGTTTAACTTATCTTCCTGAGACAAATCCAATCAACTTCAATCCATTCATCATTTTTTTTCTCGGTAGGAATTCTGAGTAATTCATACCCAGTACAACTCTGTTTAGAATGTGAAGTATACATTGCACATTACCAATATCACACATTTATTTTAGTGTTGCCTTTAAATGGTGTTTCTTGAAAGAGATAGAGTCTAAGTACTAATTTTAGAAGATTTGTTGGAAGAGTATTGGCAAATGACCAAGTCAACCATTTTTATACACAGAAAACATGTTTTGTATCTAAGGAAAGAAAATCCTCCCTTCAGGTGACAATCCTCCTTTCTTGAGGATTCTAATAGAAATTAGTGATCATATAAACCCCAGGTTAGGTAGCCCCTTTTTAGTCATTATTTTGTATGTTTGAATATGTGTCTCAGGTTGTGTAGTCAGATGCTCTAATTTGATAATGAAGAAGCATTGCGCAAAGACACTCAGCTTGAAGTTGGCAGGAATTAGATGAGAACACCGCCTCACAGCTTCTATGCCAAAACATTTATGCCCTTTAGAAGTCTTGTTCCATTTGTGTGATAGCCTCTTGATTAGCAACCCCCTAGGTAAAATTATTGTGCATAACCTGTAGGCCACATTTTAAGAAAGATCTAACTTAAAGTATTCACTGAAAATCTGTATCTGCAGCAGCACAGTATCAAATCTAAAGCCAATCAAAAGTGAAGAGAATGAAATTGAGCAAAAGTATGCAGAAGTTCATGAATAATTTCATAAAACATTTTATATGTCATACTGAGAAATTATGAAACAAAAAAATAGAATTAAAATTCACCACCAATCTTTTCCCCATCATTATATTACACAAAATGAGTGA